ATATCAATAAATATAGGAATTTTATTTAACTGCTCTTTTGTTTCCAAGGCATACTATATTTGTTTACTATCCGAACCGTCCGAACTTCAGACATAATGAATTGATATTTCATACTGATCACTACTTAAGCTCGAACTGTCCGAAATATTCAAATTCGAATTAGATGCTCATTTTTTTAAACTTCGAACTATTCGAATAGATCGAATATTCATCATGTTCGATCTTTTGTCTGAGCCCTAGTTTAGACATTCTTATAGTAAATAAATAAAAAATGTGTTTAGACATTTAAATTATAAAATAAATCAAATTATTTCTTTTGATAATAGATAAACGAAATAAAAATTCAGAAAACATTTTATCTTTTTCATATTATAATAAACCCATATCAAGGAAAGTTTTGAAGATTTCGCACGTTCATTGTTTGTTGTTTGTTGTTTGTGAAATGTACTTTTTTGCATAGTAGAAGAAATATATATGTGTGTATGTATATATATATATATAGAAAACGTTTGTTTCTTATGTCAAACATGCGTCACGATAACTAAGGCAGCGAATGTGCATTAACACAATTTATAGGGAAAATTAAGTGCGCAAGTTTCAGATAATGCACAGATGTATATTTTCGTTAAGAAAACAAACTTTTTAAATCACATTATTGTAACTTGCAATAATATACAATACATATATAAACATAATTAATAACATGTACAGTTAACTTTGTATTTAGTAAGAGAAACAAATATAATAAGTTTAAACAATTATAGGAATTATTTAAATAGAAAAGTATATTTACTACTTTCCATAATGTGTGTGTGTGTGTGTGTGTGTGTATGTGTCCTAAATATATATTCGCATATAAAACTTTCTATTTAGGTATTATGTATTTGTCTTCTTTTGTAAACGTACGTTAAGATAGCATTATTGTATTTTTGAATTTTTTTTCGTAAACGTTGCTTGAAATCATTACATGATACGAAATACGTCAAATATATTATAAAATTTAATTCGCATCCACAAAGACATCCTATAATCAAAATGTTTATAAAATACGCTATAATAGTACAGTGTCGTACGCGTTGTAATACAAGTAGAACATGTAAGTAGCACTTCAAAGTACGTGTTAAAAAATGCAACTTAATGTATATAAAAATGTCAAAAACAGTTAAAATTGTTTGCGTTTTTCTGAACGAATACAGTAAGAATTATTAACAAATACGTCTATCTTAATTTAATAATAGCAAACAAGCAAGCATTCTTTCACTTCCTCATCCCACGCAACAACATTATATTATAAAGATAGCAACTATCTTACTTAAGCATAATGTAAATGTTATCAGAAGACATTGCATAAAACAAAGACAAAATGTAATAGTATCCGTAATGCACAAGTTCTTTAGTACATTATAATCAATATCGTGTTTTACATATAAAGCTTCTTGAGTTAATCGGTAATATATTTACGAAACCGTGGCAAAAATCCTTCCTGATGGTCCGTTTATCTAAAATTAAAAACAAAATATAATTAATTCTTCTAATTATACATATAAGAAGAGGTAAGAAGAGGAAGAGAGACAAAGAGAGAGAGAGATTTTTTATTTATTAATTTTATTTATTAATTTTAGTTTTTTATTTATTAATTTTACCATATTTTATTGTAGAGAAAAGATATATTTATATATAGTGGCCGCCAAAAATTTTGGGCTGGCTAAATATTTCGGAAAATATGCATTTTTGAGAAAAATGTTTTAGACAAAAATTGTAGAGTTTGAAAAGATCTATTTAATGATCTTATCAGTTTGACCTTGAATGGCATCACCAATATCAGGTCATTTTCAAATTGGACACCCTATTTTTGATTCCAGAAGTTAGCTATCTTAATAAATTTTTTATAGATATTTATTTTTTATGATAATAATTAAAAATCATTATTGTATTAATTATATAATTATATTAATATGTAAATTAAAAATCTGTTACGTAGGGTCTACTTACCTACGAAAATTATCCTATGTACCACTACTTGGTGACGTTTACGTTTTACCATTTCTCGTTTTAGTTTCCGTCGAAGATGTTTGTCCAACAGAGTGGTCCGTTTCTTCCTCTGCGTGACGCCCATTACTACCGCTGCTTCTCTCGGATGCACTGATATCATGTTGCTCTAACAAAGGCATTTCAAGAGAATCTGAAGAAATTCGTCTTGCGTTGCCACCATATCGCTCGACAGTTTCTGGCGTTTCCTTTGCGTCTTTTATATTGTTCAACGAATCCGAGCTCAAGGACGGAAAGTCCAGTGTTGTCTTCATCTCTAGAGAATCAGAGCTTCGACACAATTGTTGATATTTTTTTTCTGCATTATCTTCCATTTCTAGAGAGTCCGTACTGGTCTCCATAATATTGCTTTCTTTTTGTGCCGCTTGTGCCTCCTCGAGTTCTCTCGTTTCTTCTAGAAGAGTTTCTGGAATTGGTTGAGCGAAAGCTCTCTCAGCATCAGTAATCTCGATTTGCGAAATGTCTTCCGTAGTGTCGTCCTGCCGTTCAAACTTCTCCATGTTAGACTGAGCAATACGTATTATCTCGTCGATCTCTTTTATCCTCTTTTCATAGTCATCCGATCCGGAAGTACTAGGATTAAACGAACCAGCTGCACTAGTCTCCGTCCTCGATCGCGGCAGATTCTCCAATTTATATTTGTTTTCTGGACTTTCATGTTCTAGTAGTTCCTCTTCCTCACGAGCCCGTAGCTCCATCAAATGAGCCTCTCTGCAGGCTTTTTCCAACCCTTCAAAATCCTTTAGTGAAGACAATGAAACGTCATCGCCATGACCTGAACGACCGGTCACGTACCTTTTCGGAAGACTGCCATTATTACTATTGGAATCCTGTGAACCGCATTGTAATTTCCGTGAGTTCTCAGCTGCCACAGTACTCTCTAAATGTTCAAATTCCTGCAGTGAGGTCAAGGACACAGTGTCATGATCCGCAGGCTTGCTGAAATATTTCTTCCCTAAGATATCGTAATCCGGTGTACTACCGAAACTACCACGCATACTTCCCACACTGCCTATAGATTCTTTGTGACTGCCTAAACTGCCGAGTCTACTACTTCCGGCCTCAAAATCTGTGACCTCCTCCTCTTTGATATCCTCTAATGGTCCGCGGTCATATTCTATATCGTACACTCGCGCGTCTGCATGGAACTGCATTTCTATCCATTTCTTATTCTCGTACTGCTCTTCATCAGAATAAGATTGAGATTGATCATCGTTTGACGCTTGGGGCGGACTCTCTTCGGACTCGAAGTCAAACAAATCATTATTCCTTGACGTCTGACTCGTTGATACCTGCGCGTCCTCTTTGTTCTCCGTAATTAGATTCTCTAGGTCGCGATCGTACTGCTTGCTGGTGGTTTGAGGTATTGAGCTGATGCGAATGCTCTTACCTTCAGCATCAAACTCCTCTGCTTCACGTCCGACTTCTTCGATCACCACAAAGTCATCAATGATATCGGGCTTATCTACGAGCTCGAAAGAATCGCTGTCAGGTGAATGACGCTCGGACTTATCTTTCTCTACGACTGTGTCAAAAGACATGCCCGATGCCGAAGATAGGGACATGCTGGCCTGTTGCATCATCGAATGGACGGATGTTGACTGTATCGGTTCGAGACCTTCATCTCCAGTTATCTCATGATCCGATCTCTGTTCCAAACTTTTTATCGTTTCCACATCCATCATCTCCGCATCCTTTTCTGTATCTCTTTGTACATTTAAACCTTCCACCTTTTCTTCTTCGCTATCGCTGGGAATAATAACTCGTGTAGAGATCACCTGAGTGCATACACTTTGAACCCCGTCTTCGGATACCCGCGATGTCATTATGTCTACAGATTGAAGGACTCCGGGCGCATCCATAGAGGCAGAAATGGCTGAATCCGCGACTTTGGCCTGATCTTTCTCCAACATTTCATTCATAGACTCCGTTTCCATGCTGACGCTGTCGTCCACAATCTGTTGGAAAATCATCTCGGACGAACGTTTCATACGGCATGGTATGTGACTATCAATTTTGTCCATGGCTTCATCCATTGGTATTTCTTCACTACCGGAAGAGTCTGATGCTTCAGCCATCTCTTGTTCCGCGTCTAATGCGCTTTCCAGGTTCTCCTCTATCTCGTCTATATCCACGTCCGCTTCCTCCGAGGGTACTAGCGTCTCTGACAACTCACTGGTACTATCGATGCTGCCAAGATGACCCGAGCTGAGAGAATTTAAAGACTTCATGGATTCATGGGAACTCAACGTACTTGCTGCAGTCTGATAGTCTTGTGATGTTGGCAATGTCTTCGATGTCTCGTGTTCAACAGACATCATCGCCGTCTCATACTCCGAAACGGTTCCGGATTGGATGCCACCCACAGCAGATTGTAATGCCTCGACATCGGACGAACTGGGTCTGCTTCCGCTGCCAATTTCGTAATCACAGGACTGGTAGTTGCTGCTTTCGCCAGAACTCGAAACGTCGGCTTCGCTTTCCGAGGTCTTAACTTTTTTTGATATCCTAACCGGTTTTTGACGTTTTCTAGGTGCCGGATAAGGTGGTGCCAAGGAGTAGCTGTCGTCCCTATTATCCATGTCCGAACCGACGTCAGATGATCTACTGAGAGGAAGCGGGCTGGGACGACCTTCCTCCTCTTCTTCCTCCTGTTGTTCATCGATGGTTATTATGGTTTCTTCTTCTTCATGTTTCTCGATATCGATTTCAGATGCTTTAACATCGATTGGTCTGTCGTCAATGGTGGTAATTTCTTGGATAGATAGTTTGTCATCGTCGGTATCTTTCGGGTCTTCTTGCTTTGCTTCGTCGAATTTTTGAGTTTCCACAATTGATAAATCGCTTTGCGTAATAACTCCAATTTCGGCTTCAGTCTCGACAGGAACATGTTCAATGGACGGTGGTCTGTATAAAAACGGCAAATCGTTTGGGATGGATTCCGATTGGAGTTTGAACTGAAACTCTGAAGGCGAATCTTTGATTTGAATCACGGTCTGACTGTTCTCACTCAGTTCTTCTATCAAGTCTTGTTTAGCCGCTTCCAAGGATTCTTTCACTTCGGCGATCTCTTTCTTCACCACTTGATCTAGCACTGTTATCGCATATCGTGCGCTTAAATCGACGCTCTGGAGATCATCTTTCTTTATTTTCAAGGCACAAGTATCAGAAGGAGCAATCGTCGATTTGCTGGGCTTATCGTGCTTCTCGGTGGTTTTCTCCATATGTCGTTTGTATTCTTCACTGGGAGGTTTGATCTTTGCCAAATAAGTTTCCGTCCATTCTTTTAGCACATCATCAACTCTCGCACACTTAGGTAGTTCTGATTCTTCTTTCGTGGAATCTTTCGGAATTTTTTTAGTTTCAGTAATCTTTTCTTTTATAGCCTCTGACTCTTTTATTGTTTTATCAGTAATTTCAAGTTCTTCTTCTTTTTGTGTTTCTTCAGCTATAATATGCTGCATAAAATCTGCTTTTCCTTCCTTTATTGTAGATACTATATTTGCAGAAATGTCTTGTTGTTTGTCTGTTATCTCTTTAATTTCTGTAATTTCCACAGTTAAATCTTTTGTTTCCTCCTCTTTCATAGGTATCATTTCTGTAACAGCTTCGGTAATACTCGTTTCCCAGTCAAAATCTTCGCATGGTATCGACTGCCGTATACTTACTGCGTATTCGCCCGTCGGTGTCTTGGCATCGTGTTCTCGTTGCAAAGCGTCGACCAACTCTTGACAAGTAATCTCTAATTTATTTTCTACTATTTCGCTTTCAAAGTCCGGCTCGATCACTGGGATTACAGTAAACTTTGTTATCTTGGTTGTAGTAGTCGTAACGGTTACATTAACATCACTGGCAACCGATTCTTTGACTGATTCAATCACACTGATCTCCTCCGAAGACTTAGTCACGGACTCTTGTTCCAAGTCTACGGATTCATCCTGAGATAAAGTGCGATCATGTCGTAATGACGATTCGTACTCCTCCAACTCTTGATTGAATACTTGAGAAGGCTGCAACGTTTCTGATATTTCAATCTTCTCGTCACCGATCATCCAATCAACTGGCTTGATTTCTAAATCGCTTACATGTTTTATCCTTGGCGAAAATAACGGCGGACTTTCGATTTCGAAACTATCCGCTCTTCGTCTGTCCCCTGCGTCGTATTCTTTCGATGGAACAGTTGAGGATAGAACATTCTCATGAACCGGAGGATAGTCTACATTAACATCCTCGGATACTGTGCTAGAACTGACAGTCACATCTTTCTCCTGACCGATCTTCTCCAAAGAATCTACAGCCACACTCTCGTGTAAAGAAGCTACATCTCTGCTAGTTTGTTCGGATACTTTGTGCTCGTCTAACTCTAAGGACGGCACGTCGACTGAGTCTTGTCGACTGTCCGCGCCTGGTTCTAAAATTTCTAGCACTCTAGCACCTGAAATTTCTGATATTATCTTATCTTTCGAGACACTAGTATCACTATATATATCCTTCTGAAGTGGTTCGATATGCCCGCTTGATCTATCTGAACGAACTTTTTCAGATTGTGGACTGGATGTAGGCTTAGATATATCCTCTAATTCTCCAGTATCAACGTCGATTGTTTCTTCTAGATCAATTTGCTCAGATATACTGCTGGGACTTATAGTGATGTCTCTGTCCTGGAGACTTTGTCTAGCTTGAGACGATGATTGTAAACTCTCTTCTCGATCATGCAATGACAATTCTTCGTCTTTTGTTATATCTTCACTAATACTGTCTCTGGTGTATCCTTTCTCAAATAATTCTTCTTGTAAGGTCTTCGATAGTGTTGTTCCCGAATGATCCAATTGCTCATCTTTCATAATACTTTCAAACTTTTTTGTTAAATCATCTGCCAGTTTTTCGTGATCAGTATCGCTACTCTCGGAAATCAATTGATCTAAATATTCTTTACTCAACATCTGTGATTTCAATCCTGATGATGATCTTTTCTCAATCTCACTCTCAATCGATTGTATTAGACCCTCCGCTATATTTCTCGCTTCTATTTCTTTAGCGATTAATTGTTCTTTCTTCTCCAAAGATATTAAAGGTTCTTCGCTCGGAAATTGTTCATCTTTTTTAGCCTTTTCAGTTGAATCCATCTTGTCTCTTTGACTAGGTACAAACTGTTCGACTTTAAATTTCTCCAAACTCTCTTTGTAAGACTGTCCTTGCGTGATCGTTTCAACCTTTTCCAAGTCTATTCCTTCGACTTTAGCTGTTTTAGGCAATTCTTTAATGTCTTCTACTTCTTTCGCATCGTCCCTCTTGATCCTAATCGCCACATCCACATCGCTTTTCCTGTCTCTATTAATTCCAGATTTTTCCATCGCAGTTCCCTCACTGTCCTCCAGCAGTTTAAATAATTCTTCCTTTGTACTCTTCGCTTTAGATTCAGAAGCGCTTGCGTCTATCACTTTTTTACCTTCCATCACATTCATCGACATCTTCTGCACAGCAGTCTTATCCATCTCCTCACTCTTGCTCTTCTTTTCCTCTATTATCTCAACCGGTGACTCCTTAGTCAGTTTAGACTCTGAGGATTCTTTCCGTTCCACTTTCTCCTTTTCTTCATGAGTTATAAATTTATCCGCACCACTGGAGATCTCTGATGAAAGCACCTCCTTCTTCTCCACTTTACTAATAGCCTTGGTATCAATCTTTGAAGTAATTGTATCGAAATCCTTGTCTCTCATTGCACTTATATTCTCAAACATCTTAAACGCGTCCTGCGCATCGGTAAAGGTCTTGGAAAAAGTTTGCATCTTGCTCTTCGTAGTCAAGCGTTCTTCATGCCGCGTAACCTCCTCGCTAGATTTCTTCTCGGTGACAGTAACGGTTTCGCCATCTTTCCGTCCCGAAAAATCTTTTTTTATTCCTTCTTTTTCTTTTACCGTCGCTCCTTCCATAATACGTTTGGGTATACGAGATTCAAATTCTTTCTTCTTGCTAAATGGTGAGGTATCCTTTTCTTTTTCCGTAGGAGAACTTTTTAGCGATTTCTCCTCAGGTTTATCAGATGTTTTTCCTTTTCCTTCTTTTTGGCTTTTATCTTTCTCAGCCATTGCCGTGGAAATCGGAATGCGAGATTCGAATTCTTTTTTTATCTGTTTGATCTCCGTGTCAGCGATAGATTTTCTTTCCTTATCAGAACTAGTGTCAGCCATCGTTTTCTTTTCTTTCATTTCCGCCTCTTCTTCAATGATTCGCCTCTCCTCTTCAAGGAATTGTTCGATTTCCGTTTTATCATCCAGAAGAAATGATTTAATTTTAATGTCCATTTGTTCCTTTTCAAATATTTTCGTTTCTGCACTAACTTCTTGAACTTGTGCAACTGGAGTAGGTCTCACCTGTATTTCCTCAGCGAGTTCTCTTTCCTTATTTAATAATTCCTTGCAAATTTCCATCACTGGCTGAGCTGTTATCTTTTGAACTTCCTCACGTACTTCTTTATCGCTATCCTTTTCCTTTTCATCTTTCGGGTCTTTCCTTGTCTCCTTCGTCCGTTTATCACTCTCAATAGCGGCTTTCAAAATTTTCTCTATCTCTCTCGCTTCTGCTATATGTTTCTCTTCGATATCGATTTTCTCTTTCGTCATTTCTACTATACTCTTTTCCACGCGAATCTTCTGGTCGTCGATCGATTTACCTTTAAAAATGGGTTTGTCTTTTTCAGACTTGACGGAATCTTGCTGCAGTCTTGGTGTGCCCTTAGCTATCTCTTTTTGAATCTGCTCCTCAAAGTAATGCGCCTTTTCCGCCACAGAACACTCCGAGATGTCCGGCACATTGATGTCCTCGATGGTCTCCGATCTTATGACGTCTGAGATGCCTTCAGTGGTCCCATCACCCTCCTCGGACATGACATTCGGTGGACATGTTTCGCTGTCGCTTTCATTAATGGTCAATTGAGAGGTCCTCGAGATCTCGGATTCAGAACGTTGATAATTTTCGCGTTTCTTCGACATATCCTCCCAAAATTTACGCTTCTCCGAGTATGTTTGCCTTTCGAGATCGGGCGATAGGTCCGGTTCCGACTGACCGGCGTCTACTTTATTGGGATAACTAGCATCTACAGATTCTAGGGGACAAGCCGCTTTTTGTGCAAAGGATTCGTGGATAGCGGCATCTAGAACAACCAAGAATTATGCTCACATTACATTTTATTAAGCATGTCGTTATAATGACTGCAATACATTGTGTCTATTTTTTTTGTTTACAATTGGTTTTTTTTTTATTCACAGTGAGATCTGGCGATCGAGAACTTCCGTAGCGCAAATCCGTCATTTTTTCCCTATATTTTCTTTTCTTTTCTATAGTCGTGGCAGGTACAAGATGTACTAAAGCCAAGATGCATTAAAGCCACAAAATGCAAAACAGCAGTCCATTAACTCAAATCTAAAGTTTATGCGCAAATCTAATATTACTAATAGATAATTGTTTTTTATATAGATGTAATGTAACTCTTATTGATATCATTTTTTGGTTTATACTTTCCTAACTGAAAGAAAAAACATAATAATAATTCGTATAATAAAAGAATGGACTTGTTTTATATTCAACAGCTTTAATTTATTTTAAAATACAATTTATCAAGTTTTGCATGTATGTAACGACTATTTCTATTATTCTTTAAATTTATTATCTGCAGGACATAATGCTAATTATAATTATAACTGTATCCATCAAAAATATAATTCGTAAATAAGAAATAAATTTTTCTATTGTTTTTGTACATACAATGACTTGATCTTAAAAACAATATTATTGCCAACAAATCATTGAGTACTGCTGTATTAATTATTATCTATGTACGTATTTACATATATCATATAATTATAATTATATATGTGTATATATGTATGTGTATTTGTTTATATCGGAAAATTTCTTTAGACTGCGGAGACATACTCTTTTGCATTAATATCCCATACGGTTGTCTATGATAATGTTGAGGACGGCATTTCGGTCTGCAAGTATAACAAGTACACAAATATTGCGTTATTATCGATTCTATAACGAAAACATAAGAATTAATTTATCGATAATCGTTTCGATGCGCGTCGTTTATTACTGAATTTATAAATAAAACGATGTTCGCGATACATTTATTATATCATAGCTGTTATAAGCGGACTTCTTTGATCAACTAATGCTATTTCGAGTAATGTTAAACAATTTTTTCTTCCCAGAAATCAGTTATAATGTATAATTTTACTTTGCTTAAATTATTATGTTTATCTCATTAAGAAATTATTAATTTTTAAAGGATTTCCTAAATTATGTTTTAAAGGCACGGTGCAAAAAGGAAAACGTATAATAATTTGTGATAAACTGCATATGTATAGTGCTCATAGATGTTCAAAAAATAATGTTTATGCATACATATATCGCTTCTTGAGGTGGCTCCTTTTGCCTACAAATCGATTGCCTAGAGTATCGTTTGCCTACATCACTTTTGCCAACTTTTGTAGGCAATAATTTTTGTGTGCAAACGAACTGTCGACAAAAGTGATATAAGCAAACGATACTGTAGGCAATCGATTTGTAGGCAAACGGGATCCCCTCTTGCTTCTTTACTTCAAAAGTAACACAACTAAAATAATTAAGTTTTCCAGAAAAGAGAAAAAAACTATTTTTTAACTTAACAGAAAATTAGTAACTAATCACATAATTAATAGAAAATTAATGATTAATCAAATAATATCGACATAAAGAATATATACTTAACATGATTAAATATCATTTTTATCGTTTTCATTTCAACTCTTCTTGAAAAATCATCTTTCTTGAGTTGTAAAGATATTTTGATAATTTTTTATGAAGTTAATTTTGATAGTTGATAATGTCCCAGATAGTAAGCTGACGTTATTTGTCGTCAGTTTGACATCAAAGTGACATTATTAATGACCTTTATTTAACTTATTCAAGATAATAATTAAAAAATTGTTTTAGTTGTATTACTTTTGAAGTAAATGAGAAATATAATATCTAATACGATATATTTATTCTAAGAGAATATTAAATTAAATTTAATATTCTCTTAATTCAATTTAAGCGAATAAAATCAGATATTCTACATATTTACACGTTCTATTTATAGGTATTTTTTCTTTATTTCCTTTTATGATTAAGATATATATTTAATGAAAAACACGTGAGAATTATTTTTTGGACAACTTTTATAGGAAAGGACAAAGAGAGAAATTTAAAAAAAATTAAATAATATTTTTATAAATCGTTAGGTATTTGATATAAAGGATTGCAACATTTCATACAATTTGTTAATAAACTTTGCGTCACTTAATTACACTTTCGTGATCATTTTAGAATACATATTTTAATATATATTTGCCTGATATTGTTCAAGGCTCTGATAGAAAGATTGCAAAATTCTACTTATCTCTCAGATAAAAAAGATCTTGTGATTGAATCAAGATTTCATATATTTATATAAGATGTTACGCAATTCGTATTGCATCAGTTATAAATATAATATCAGATCCCATTAAATAGTGATTATCCAATCACGATCGAAAACTCCTTATACCCTTGTTATTCATAATAATGTTATTCTGTTACCCTAGTATGTATGGTAATGGTACGTCAATGGTAATGGTTAATTCTTATTAATCAAAAAGATCATGGAAATTGTTCTTGATCTTCATTCCAAGAACTGTATTATTTCACATGACTCAAATAATTTTTCTTAATTCATCTTTTCTTTCAACCCTGATTTAATCAACATCTTCGATATCAGTATGGCAATCGCTGATTGTCTCTTCAGCGGCATCCGGAACGTATAGGGTGTTTTCCATTTTGTTGGTCATAACAATCTGCGATGAGGCCAAGATATCGAGATCCTCATACATGTGATAAGCAGCTGCCTCATCTATCTTAGATTCATCTTCGGACCCTTCCATGTCTTCGCTGTCGGTGTTTGGCATATCCGGTACGTTCTTATTATCCTCTTTATCGATGGAAACCTCTTCTCGCGATAATCGGTTTCGCACTTCTACAGAGAACGGTCCGTCGCCTTCCTTGGTCGTGATCATTTCATCGCCAAACTCGATCAGGATGTCCGATCTCGGAGTAATATAGATTGTCGATTGAATATCCTCGTCGCCCTCTATGTCTTCTATATCTGTTTCCCCTTGATGATCGTTATCAATTACGTTTAAGTTGCTAATAGTATCTTTCTCATCGATCTCGTCACTGTAAATCTCATCGACGTCGGTGAGATTTTCCGCAAAGCTGCTACGGCGTGATCGTGATCTGGCTTCACCGTCGGCTATAAGATAATCTAGATTGTCATTGATCTTCATATCAGGCTCGATGATCTCCGCATTGGTCACAGAGATTAACGGATTCGCTTGCGAAGTTTGCGCGGAGTTAAGTTTGCCGATCTTGCTGGTGATCATCGTCAACTCGCCTTCAGAATCCGTGTCGGAGAAGTGCAACGATGCGTTACTCATCATAGCATTCAAGCGTCTTCTGGCGGATCTGGATTTGCGCTTGACCTTCGTTCCAGAGGAACATTCCTTGTCATTAACTTGACTGTTCTGCTTCATCATGATGCTATCGTGCTCATTGATTTTCATTGTCGTCGCCATGTCTACTTGGTTTTTTACGTGTTTAACGTCCCGATCGTAAGTGCAAACTACTAATGAACTTAAAAATATCTGAAACTGAAAATAGTGAGAAAAAAAATTAACTTTAAAGAAAACACAAAATAAAATTTTAAATAAATTATTCAAAATAAATAGGAAAACATAATTAAAAGTACGAAAATAAAATAAGCTTATAATTCGTAAAATCTATTTTAAATACGATCTTGTATTTAAAACAGATTTGATAATTTATAAATTTATATCAATCTTGCATCAAACTCTTCGACTTTAATGAGAACATTAATAAAACAAAAAAAGGAAGTTATTAAAAATGAACAAACTCATGGTAAAACTAAAAAAAACTCACGTTTTTTAATAATTGTGTGTGGATGCTTGAAAGAAAAATAAATACGAAATTTGCACCGTTCTCTTCATCGGTACAGATAGAACTAAAGAAGTCCGCCACCGGCACTTTCAAGCATTTGTTGATGCTGTTACGTTTAATTAAGTTAAGGAAGCCTCACTCAACTCTTAAACCGTAAGCCGATTATCTTTCTCCCCTTAAATTATAAAATAGAATGACAATCGAATTTCATTATTTTCAAGTCGAGACGAAACGCGATATTCGACAAAGATTTTTTTCGACCTTCTCAAAACATTTGCTCTTTTCATGTTGCACTTTGCTTACGAACGACCTACATCGCCAGACCTTTCTTAAGTTATCACTTTTATCAGTGAATACAAGATAAAATATCTTTACATAATAAAATATTCATCGACAACACTTAATGCTTCATTACGCAAGTTCTCTTTTTGCACCTTGCATTTTTAGTGTTATAGACGAAATCGATTTTTTGAAGTTAAACTTTTTCAATTGGAATAATTTAATATGCGATCCATTATTTTGGAATATTTATATTCGACTTGTATATGCATTAATATGTGTCAAGTATGTTCTATTTTCTACATTTTTATATCATACCTGTTTGTTCCTTTTGTAATGTGTCGGTTATGAATTTCTTTTCCGTTGGTGAGGAGGTTTCTTTGGGCTTATCGGTTTTTTCCATTTGTTCCATTTTGTACTTTGATTTATAGTAATCTAATTTTTGATTTATGACATTAGAATCTTCGTAACCTATAATAACAAAAACATTATTATTAATAATTATACACTATTATTATTAATAATACATGCATAAAGACATTGCTCATAAATCTTTAATTTAATATTTTAATTTAAGATCTTTTTTTAAATTTTAATTTTATTTTTAAAAAATATTTTTTCTATTTTTTTTTTAGATAAAAAATGTATATACAATACGCAGATAATAATATCAAGATATTTTGTACTTTTTATTAATGTGTGTCACTTAACTTAATAATTATATATTTAGATAAATTTTCCCTATTTATTAAGTTATTCGAAATCTTTTACAAAATCAAAATAAAATAATTTTATAATTATTAAAATAATTATATTAGAAATTTATAACATTTTCATTATATATAGCATTTTCATTTGTAATTTAATCTATTATTTATTACGCGGAGAAAATACAAGAATTTCTGGTACGTTTGTTATTTTTGTTGCATTATAATATTTGATGGACGTACCTTTTAATTTTTTCTGCATATCATGTTTAATTATATTTTCAGGAAGAACAATATTTAACACACAAATAGGTTGCTGAGATGGTTCTCCTTTAGCAACTTTTGGTTCTCGCATGAATAACATCCTCGCTACTGGATCCAGTAACGGATCTTTTACTTTAACATGGAATGATAATCGATTTTGTCGGAAAGCCCTAAATGTGAACTTCAATTGCATGCCGGACTTTGTTACCGGTACTAAGTTCCCACTAAATTCAATATAAAGATCTTTCCCGTCAAGTGCCTATTAAACAAATATTCATAAATAGTTAAATCTAACCAATTAACATACTATATTAATATTTTTCAAATAATGATTTTATCTTATATATTTAAAAAATGTGTTATTACTAAAACAAATAAATATATCAATAATGAAACATTAAAATATTTCTTTTATACTCAATCTAAGAATAAAAAAAGAAGTAAATAAAAAGGATATCTAGTAAAAGATCTAAAAAAACATCTAATAAAAATTATATGTCCAATAAAGTTTATTTTTAAAACAGTAAAACATTTTCAAGATACTTTAATATATATTGCTCTATATTATAAAAATACCTCAACGTCGCGACTTTTAACGATTTCCGTAAATTCTTCTTGTCTTTCTAAAGTGTGCATGCCTTCCTTGCCATCGGTCATGCACAATATTCTCAATGTGGCTTCTAACATATCCATTCTCTTCGAGTATATTATAAAACTATAAAAACATTTGTTTACCAGAATTAGAGAATTGTTATTATAATATACGTATGTATATGAATGATAGAAAAACCGCTCACTTTGTTATATATGGCACATGTAAGGATGCCTCGTATAATTCCGTTGCCATTTTTGGTACTGCGCCGATATTTCTGCAATCCATCAACCAGAATCTTGCTGAAACAGTAGTGGTGAACGACACTTTATCGTTCATAAAGGTTAACGGCGTTGATCCAGTAACGTCTTCCCATTGTGACTCGTTGGTCCCACCTAAAGTTAAATAATTTTTGTCATTTCAAAAACATTATTAAATCAAAAAATTCTTAAAATATAAGTAAAAATGAAAGAAATATTTATTAAATATATATAAATAACTTCTTTGTAATAATCTGTCTTATTAATATTATTTAATATTAAATTATATGTCATAATATAATAAATTATTAAATTATTTTATTATGATATTTATATAATTATTGATAAATTTGAAGATAAACTTTATTTGCCTACTTGTCTAAAATTGTACAATGTTCATAATTACCCGCAATGCTACACAAGAGGCGTAAAGTAGGTGTCTCTCCTCCATATTGATTGATCATCCCCTTGTTTGCCGCTTGCGGTACAGGGATCGTAAGGGTTATCGGTTTATGGAACTTCCGTCGTCTGGGTTCAATTGTAATCACCGGTGAAACGGCAACGCAATTGCCTAGCAATTTGGCCGTGAGTTCAGCCGGAATGACGTGCGCCTATATAAATACAGATGATGATTTTACATTTTATTGCAGTTTTTCTACTTACAATCATATTATTGTTGAATTTATAAATTTAATTACCTGCAAGCCGACTTTAATTTTCTTCGTTAACGCTCCCGGTGGAAAAACAGCCTGTACATGATTCGCAACGCTGGATAACAAAATGCAACCCTCGGCGCCGATAACATGAACTTCTTGCTTGATTCGAGTTATGATAGCGAAATATTGTGGAAAGTCTGTGGTAATTATACGAGTGATTCTGCCCGAGTGTGCAACGCTCATTTGAGGATCTGAAAAAAGTATAACAGCCTTGTTTATTTTTAATACTATTATTATATATAAAATTAAAATTTTCAGATCTTTATTAAGGTATATACATCAATTAATTTAAATATGTTTAACATATAACAATTTATCTAATAGATTATGCATTATTATAGAAAGATTTAAAAAAACAAAAAATTAAAATTTTGAAAATACGTCCGTAATAAACATTTAAGATAGAAGAAATAAAACCTGACTTTAATATATTAATTTTCTGAAATTATTATATACCATAAGGTGTATTGAGAAGAGTATCATCATTATCCACAGAATTATCATGTTCCTTCCACGTTTCTCCATTCTCACTTCGCAGAATAATAATTTCCCGTTCTTTTCCGCGAACCGATGCAAAGTGCGGTATGTCAATTAAGACGGGTCTGAAATCAGTTTATTTCCATACAAACTCAAATATTTAAAAAAATCTACGTTATATTCAGTATATTTTATATATATATATCATATCAATTATGTTGAATAATTAACTATGTTACCCTAAAAATCTCGCGCCCACCGGACCCATCTCGATAATTCGAGTAGCAAGAGCCTCCCCTTCCATCAAAGGGGGTGGATTCGCCACTTTACTTGCTTTTACTAGTCTGCATGTTACGCGAATCGGCATCGTTGCTCTTCGAGGCGGTACAATAATGCGCACACCGCTGTGTCTACATCCTTTCATAGCACCGCCACGTGCATCCACCAGAAAACTAATTAAAAATCTGTAAAGCCAGATCTTTGTAATTCTTTACATTTGATATGATTTTCTTAAGTCAATCACTATTCTACTTATACTTACGATCTAAAATGCAGCTTCCTACAAAAGAAAATATATATCATTAGATCAAGTTTAAACAACTTTCTAATTAAATTTCGAAATGGAAGTTTTCTTAATTACCTATTTTAATTGTAAATAAACAATTATTCTATGTAATTATGTAATGTACTAAAATTATATAACTATGTACATATTATTTCATAGAAAAAGAATTAATCGAAACCTACCCCAGATTCAGTCCATCGTTATCAAAATTTTCTGCTAAACAATAATTATTGCTTTGTGCAAATTCCTGCTTCTCTTCTTTGGTAACTAAAATGCGAATTATAATCTTAGGCATATGCTCTTCAAAAATCAAGTTATTTTATTCTATAAGCCGTTTAAAATATTTTTATATTTTTATTTAAATTGATAATTAAAATACACACTCGAATAAGAAATATCGAAAATATGATTTGAAGAATAAATTGCTGTGCTAAAAGGGGTTTCAAATACTTATTCTAATCATTTTATATTTTTTGAAAAATCTATTATAACTTAATCTTAAATCAGTTGTACACATCTATTTCATCAAATTTCATAATGTACGTGTGTTACAAAATTAACTATATTTTTAAAACAGAATAGATTGGACAAAATTTACATTTTTACCTTGTCTGTGCACTGGATCATCCCTAGTAACGTCAATGGGTAACGAATCATCTCTTAAACTCTTCATTAAATCTGCCGTGAGATATCGATAAGGTTGTTCGCTAATTAACGCATCAGAACCTACAAAGGAAATTTTTCTTCGCAAAAAATTTCATTATTTTATATTAATATTATTTGTATCTGTGTGCGAACATACCTCCTTCATCTTCCGAATCAGACATAAAACTAGTTTCTTGCAAGCTTTCTGGGGCTATTACTTTGTACTTTTCCTCCCAATTTTTATTATCCGGAGTCATGCTGTCGTAAGGCAACCCTTTCAACACTTCCATCACGGAAATATATCCTAATTTTTGTGCTATGTTCAATGCAGTTAAGCCATCCTACGACAATAGATTTTATAAATTCATCAAAATCTAATATTATAAATTTTATATAAATATGCGTATTTCTTTTATGATATATATTGATCATGTTCCAAAATTCACTAGCAGTTGAAAATCTGTTACGTAAATAATAGATTTTCAGTATTGGCAATAAATTTTAGAACAGAGTCTTTGTTATTTTTAATTTTTTATTTATTTAGAAATTTTTACGATATATATATATTACGATATTTATATGTTTTAATCTTATTATTGTTTGTATTATATTTTTGTCTAATAATATAATTTAAGAAGAAATAAAGGCTTAGCTAATAACTAATTATCTTAAAAATATATATAAAATTTATAAAATTTTATATTAAAATGAAATTAAATTACTTTTATTATTAATAAATCAATAAGATATCAAAAAACATAAATAGATATATAATATTAATAAACATTTATACAATTGCATACACAGTAATAATACTAATAATACGTTACTTACGTTAGTTTGCGCTTTATGTGAAGCATTTCCTTCCAACAAAGCAGTGACTATATGAGCATGACCTTGTTGAGCGGCCTGATGAAGCGGGGTGTAATTCTGATTAGTTTTAACGTCGATAGTGGCACTATGTTTCAACAAAAAGCGTATCATTGATAGATTTCCGAAATGTGCGGCCACGTGTATCGGTCTATAACCAGTTTCTGTTTGACTTTCAACATCGGCCCCGTTTTTTACCAAGATAGAGGCCACTCTAATGAAATCTTCTTGCGCGCATAAATGCAACGCCGTGAGTCCGTTCTGATAGATAGTAATAAGAAAATAATATATCTATTACTATTAATGACACTACATATTGTATAAATAATAAATATTAATTAAGAATATTTTTTTCGACTATGCCAAAAAATTGATATTAAATATTATTTAAAATATTTAAAATAATTTTTACAACTGCAAAAAATAAGAAAAATATGTGAATAATAAAGATAATTTAAGGAACATTGCAAAAAAGAAGTTCAAGAATTGGTAATTATTTACATTAGGGACCCCCCCACCAATGATCTTGACCTGGACATATGTTGTCATGACCCTGAATGACCTTCAATGAATTTTAACTGTTGTTCGTTATTCGTTAAAAAGTTATGTCCTACATAAAAGTTATGTACTACTCTGTCAAGGTCAGGATCGTGAGAGAGGTTCCTTATTGTAAATAATTACTCAAGAATTTACAAGACATTCTAATTTCATGAACAAGGAATAAAATTATGAATTGCTTATAATGACTCTAATTAAGCTTGTAGATCTAAAAATTGAACTACATGTACATGAAGTATTTGAGGAAAAGCTAATTTACCTTGGCTTTGTGATTGGGATTGGCACCATGCTCAATTAACAAATTTGTCATATCATAATGTCCTTTTTGTGAACTCAGATGCAACGGGGTGAAACCCGCTTTGGATTCCGCATTTGCATTCGCCCCTTTTTCTAAGAGAGTAGAAGCTATGTCCATCTAGCCGCATGAAAGAGATCGTTTTCACAAAATAATTAGTGGCAACAATAATAAACATCAAAGTAACTTAAACATTTATGCATCAGAGAAAACATTTCAAGGTTATTTAAAAAATTTGTCGTAGTTTTGAGATAAGTTTACCTGGTTTTTGCGAGCAGCGATATGTAGAGGAGTATGTCCATTTTGCGATGCAAGATGAGGCGATGCTCCTTTTTCTAATAGGAGAGTCGCAACGTTTGGATGATCATAGTGACATGCCAAGTGCAAAGGCGTAATATCGTTCTGAAACGTCAAGCATACGTTTTGCAACTCAATAAAATTGCATGAAAATCAAAATATAATTTAAATTTATACAATATAATAATTGTATAGAAAAAACTCAGATTTTTAAGTGAAATTTAAAAACAACAATATTATCTTCAACTTTTTCAGAAATCCATTATCTTAAATTTTTTGCTCAAAAAGTTTATTAATAGTTCTAAAAAAAATAACATTTACTGATATAGTAAAAAAAATAATAAAAAACTAAAATTATTGTATAAAATAGAGAATATTCTGTTTTTTTTCTTTTGCGCCTAGATATCTGAGTGTACTTTTTTACACAATTCAATTTACGTTACGTAATACACAAACCTTTCCTTGGACATCGAGTTTGCTTTCTTTTTGCAAGAGTATATTTGCAACATTCATATTTCCATATTTAGCCGCGATATGTAAAGGTGTAAAGCCATTTTTCGTTGTAGCCTTGAGAGAAGCATTATTCTCCACGAGAATGGCCGCCACCTGTTTGTCAGAAAATTTCTTGTGTTATAAAAATATTTTTTAGACCTATCTTAGTTTTTAATTATAACACTTTTGTAATACAAAACAAAGCAGACTTTTCTTTTAATTATTAAAAAAAATGTCTTATTATTTTTAAATATACAGGGTGTCTCGGACCTATAGGATCGCTTCTCGTGAGCAAATAGAGCGAATTAAACTAAATCGAAAAGTCCTATACTATTTTGCACTTTTTGCAATATTTATAGATATTAATTTCTAAAAATTGCTAAATAGCAAAGCCTATCGCCAGATATACAAGCGCGCAACAAGATAAGACCATCCGTAAAAAAAAGATGTACTATTCCCGTGGAATCGCAGTGGAAGAGTGAATTTCTAGTCAAAGATTGGCTGTTCCAGCATACTAGCGCTATTATACGCAGAAAAATGCATTTCTGGTCAAATTGGATTAGTTATTTCCAGTATTGTTATCTCTATTATGTGCAATGTTATACCCTTTTTTTTTACATCATGAAATCGCTCATAGGTTGCTAGGCATGAGGGAAGTTGTTTACTACAAGGCTTTGGCAATGACTTCATCAGCGAAATCAGCGAAAAAATCAGCGAAAAAAACCTGCGCTGGACACTGCAGTGATGAACATTTCCACTAGAGATGCACATTTAGCCCTCGGCAACATCGAGAATCTGCTTCTCTACTTTTGCTTTACCAATTGACGCCGTTCTCTATTAGAACACGGCGTCAATTGGAGCAAAAGTAGAGGGCCGATTCTCGCGATTGTTCTCGATGTTGCTGAGGGCCAAATGTGCATCTCTAATGGACAGACGTAACGCACCGTGCACTTGTATTTGGTGATAGGCTGAGTAAATACGCATTTATTCGGCGATCTTTAGAAATTAATCCGTTAACTATTGTGAAATTGCAAAATGATAGATAATTTTTTTACTCAATTTAGTCCGCTCTACCTGCTCACGAGAGGTGACCCCGTAAATCTGGGACACCGTGGATAATAAGTAATTTTCTTTCAGCTTTTTTGAAAGAGACTATATATAAGTATCTTATTCATAAGAAATAAGTTTTCTGTTGTATTACATGTACAGAGTTAAATTTGAAATAATATTAAGTATTAAATTTCAAAAATTTAGGTTAGCTCTCTTAAGAAAGATATTCATTAGAAATGAAGAATTAATTAAAAATCAATATATTCCTGTGTTCGAGCGACATGACGTAGTTACGAAAATAATGATGAATTCTATTAATATAAATTAGAACTATTGGAATTAGATTAATATGTTTGTTTAATGACTTTAATCACATTCACATTCGTATAAACTCTACGTAAGCGTTAGTAAAATATTTATAAGGCCCGCACAAATATAAGGGGAACTTAGATATATGTAGTTTGACGTAACGCTTGACAATCAATATTAAACCTTGGAGGAATGAAGTAATTGCCAAATGTCACGGGGTGAAATTACGTCCAATCTACCTTCGTGTTGTAAAGAGATTATTTTGATAATAAAAATACATGGGGGATAAAAGGAGAGAAGCAGCGATAAGATAAACGGAATGAATTTTCAGAACATAATTTAAGAAGTATAAATCAAATTAGGTACACGGGTATGCATAAAAATGAAGAAATAAGGTAACATAAAGAATAAACAACGTAACGAAAAAGTTTATTACATAACGAATACAATGATGGATAAATGTAACATAAAATGTATAATCAACGTAAACAAAATTACATTAATAGAAGGTGTAAAACAGAATATGTGCGAGATATGAACCAACGATGCGAACGATGTGCATAGAGATAATAACGATAACGACAAACATATCTGCAGCGGCTCTCTCCATCCTAAATGAGGTACTCGCGTTGCCGGGTCCAGAACAGATAATTTTTATTTTGCGTAGCAATGTAATCCGCTATTTGCACGCACTCATTGTACATTACCTCTTCTTGACCCTCCTTCGCTGCAATATGAAGTGCCGTGTACATATCTTTCGTAGCAGTGTCCACGGCCGCGCCGTGCTGCAGCAACAGCATAACAATATCGATATTTCCTAATCGAGATGCTATATGAAGCGGTGTTTGCTGTTCCTATAAAATAACGACGAGATGGTATTAGAAAATACAACGGCTTCGTTTTTCGCGAAGCAATAAGGTGGAAGCGTGAAGGTGATTACGATGAGGCTCATGATTAGAAAAATTTCGAGTTACATCATGTGTTTGTATCATCGTGCCTAAAAATTTTAAGCGATTGAAAAAGAAAGCGTGAAAAACACAACAGATTTGTCTTACTTGCAATTGGAAGATCACACACTTCAATTACATATATCGCCAGTAAGAAAAGATAAATTTGAATTTCGGTATATGAGACTGGTTAATGGCTCATGCTTTTGTATAAAGGGGTGCGTATGAGTGATCATTTGTATGTATATGACTTTCTAGATTATAGTCTTTAGGAGAGGTTCGCTGTCATTAAGTTAAATAAGCAGATTCATTGGCTGAAGGTTAAGAAAGCGGCGAAAAGGGGGTCGGAATCAGTTTCGAAATGCAACACGCTCTACTTACCCTTGCACGAGCATCGACTTTGGCACCATTTCTTAGTAAAATTCGAATAATGTCTGTTTGATTAGCTCTGGCTGCCAGATGTAGGGGTGTTTCACCCCTAACAGTTGGCACGTCAGGATTGGCTTCATGCTGCAGTAGGAATATCACGATATTCATACACCCCATAAAACTGGCCACATGTAATGGAGTCAGTCCGGACTGCAAAACACATGTATTGTCTGTTAATATTTCGAATTCTCGATATGACTCCAGAATTAATTCCATCGATTGTCTTTATCGTTGTCGTTATCGTTTCAGCAATCAATGTCTCAAAAAATGACGAAGAATAAATACATAAAAATGATCGTGATAAAAGAAGACTATACGTCGATTAATTTTGTTAGTTTTATTATTAAACGCACGACCCTTTAACCAGTCTTTGAGATTTATCGATCAATTTTATTTTTGCAAGGCACAAAAGGATGGATGAAGATTCTTTTTAAGAACGTAAATTATTAATGTGACTTTTTACTCGAATTACCGAATATATGTTCGCGTATTAAAACGATCATTTCTGTACAAATGCGATCGATATCACAATTTGGCTTCGTAATATTCCATCGAACGTTGCTACTGATACTGTGTGAAAACATTTGTGATTTACAGTTGCGAATAGACATTTATGAAAACATGATTGCGAGATGCTTGAAAGTGCGAATGAAGAAATGTGTTGCGTTACCTCCGTGGTCGATTCAATAGATGCACCGTGCTTCAACAGGAGTTCTACCACTTTGATGCGGTTTTTCTTGCAAGCGATATGGAGTGGCGTGAAGCCGTTGAGAGCTCGAGCGTTCGGATCGGCTTTACGATCAAGTAGCAACTTAGCGACTCTAACATGACCGCAGTGTGCGGCAACGTGAAGCGAAGTCAAATAGTCGATGGTCACTTCGTCTACTGGCGCCCGATGGTACAACAGCACTCTTGCAGCGTCCACATGATCTCCTTGAGACGCCATATGTAACGGTGCAAGCCCATTCTATAAAAAAAAATAATTTTTAATTTAAGACAAAATAACAGATCCTAAAATATCCTATACATATATGTACGTACAATCTAAACAGTAAACTTGATCTGTAAATTACAAAAAGAATTAAAATATCTTGGTAATTAAAGATTTTTAGCGCCACAACTTTGGAGATAAGTGCAATCTTAATCTTAAAATCTTATTTTTTAATTTTAATTTTCATTTTCTATTATAATTATTATTATATCCATCGTAAAAATGTTAAAAATAACAAAGAAGAAATGTGAGAAAAATTATATTAAATTTTCAAACTAATACAAAAAGAAAATACGAGAGAAAACTTATCAAAGCAAATTTAATGGAACATTTGTTAGAATATACCTTAGTACGCGCGCTAATTGGCGCTGAATTTTCAAGAAGCGTGCTGATAACCTGTTCATGTCCCGATCGCGCCGCGCAATGTAGCGGAGTTAAACCGTCTCTGGTCTTGGCGTCGATTTGTGCAGAGTTCTCCAACAATATCTTAACCATATTGTTTTTGCCCCACTTTGCCGCAACATGTAGCGGGCTTATATTATGCTGAAGAAAATACATTATGTTCAAAAACTACTAAATTATAATATTAATTTTAAAATCATTTAAAAAATCAAAACTATTGCTATTTCTGAGAGAGAGAGACACAAAATATGTATTATATTTATTATTATATGTAATATTGAAAACGTATAATGTTATATTTTAGATTACAATTCTATATAATCTTAGAATACACGTTATATCTTCGATTTCAACAATTTGAATCTGAAATTCTTTTTAAACTGTGTTATAGAATTATTTTTGTCAAAATAAAAAACCTTACCTTAGCTAAATAATTTACATCTGCTCCTCGTTTTATTAATAACCGTGCTATTTCTTCGTTTCCATAATGAGCGGCGATGTGAAGAGGGGTGAAGCCACTCTTCGACGTCACATCGGGCTTATGGTCGTTCTGTAACATTCAATCGTTTCAGTGATGTAATATTTCAATTTACTTAATTGTTTTCAATTTAATTAATTTTTAATATCATTAATTTAATATTATTAATTAATTTTCGTTTGATATACGAGAGATCCGTTTTAGGCTTACTTGTAAAAGCAAGTCAGCTGCTTTGCAATCGTCTTTCTTCGCAGCGATATGAAGTGCCGGCAGTCTGACTTTGCCTTTCGAATCGTTCTCCAAGAGTACACTGACTACCTTATCGTGTCCTTGCTGCATCGCAACAGCAAGCGGTGTGAAACCATCCTGAAAAACATCAAAATAATTTTAATTTTTAATAAAAGGGTCTAACCAAAACACACAGTCTAGTCCAAGATTACTGAACTAGTTAAAACTATAAGTTTTAAAAAACATGATTTTTTTTATAAACAATAAAAATCTTATTGGATCGTACATGTGAAAATAATCAATAGAGGATAAAAGCCTATAACTGGATTAAAACTAGATCTTTAATGCTATAAATAATTTTATGCGAATTTGTATATACTATAAGTGTACATACATATTAGATTGACAAGGAAAAAAAAATTTTCTTTTAATCGGTCTCTCAGTTCAAAAGCTTCCATTCTATGCCAAAAAAACACCCCTAAATTTGTATTAAAAAATATTAAGATTTAGAGGTCGCTAGTGAACGATTTTTAAATCAAAGTTTCAATTTTCCTTAATACATGTGTCATTTGATGCAAAAATGGCTTAATCCGGATTTTAAATGTGCTGTATGTTTTTTTTTGGTCACTGAACACGATGTAATAATTCATTTAGCTCTACGATATATGCCTTAAGAAATACAGCCCGATAAATGTGAAAAAAATGACCAAATTTGAAGTTTAAAATCGATTTTAGCAAAGTTTCAAGAGTTCAAATGGGTCGTTACTCTTCAAATTATAAGTCTGTTCACCCACAAGATCCAGTTGGAATTTTTCCGGGACCTCTTACAAGGCCTTTAAAAGTTGCATTTAATTGGGTTATAAAACGTTTTTATGGACAGAAAAAATTTTTTTACAAGTTCTAAAATATATCGCTTTGTGGTTTGACATCCTCAAATCAAATGGCTCAATTTGACAATAAAAAAACTCTTTATTAGAAAATAAAATGAATACATAATAAAAAAATATACTACATAATATGTAGTTTATTTCAATCAGTTAAATGATATTTTTTTGTATTATGTACTCATTTCACTTTTTAATAAAGAGCTTTTTATCGTCAAATTGAGGTATTTTATTTAAGGATCAAAACCAAAGCGATATACTTTAGAACTTGTAGAAACATTTTTTCTATCCTTAATCCAATTAAATGCAACTTTTAAAGGCCTTGTAAGAGGTTAAATGCAACTTTTAAATGCAACTGAGAAAATTCCAACTGAATCTTGTTCTGGGTGAACAGACCTACAATTTGAGGGAAGTAACAATCCATTTGAACGTTTGGAACTTTGCTAAAATCGATCTTGAACTCGAAATTTGATCATTTTTTCACATTAATTGGGCTGTATTTCTTGAGGCGTATATCGTAGGGTTAAATAAATTATTACATCGTGTTCAGCGACCAAAAAAAACATATACAGTATCACACTTAAAATCCGAATTAAGTTATTTTTGCATCAAATCAAACATATATTAAGGAAAATCGAAATTTTGATTTAAGAATCGTTCGCTAGCGACCTCTAAATATTTTTAAATAAAAGTTTAAGAGTGTTTTCTTTTGGCATGAAATGGAAGCTTTTGAGCTGAAAGGTCGATTAAAAAAAATTTTTTTTTCTTGTCAATCTAATACACATACTATATACTATATTTGTAACCATTTGAACTGCAAAATCAGCGAAATTTTTCCGGATTTTTTAAGACGCAACAGAACTACTGTAGTAATACTGTAATAACAATTAAATTTGATGCTCAATAGGCATCTATTAAAGAGGTCTTGATATGCTGGAAATCTATAAAAATAAATTTATTTATTGCAAAAAAATTACCTGGAAGTCGAATTCGGATCTCTAACATTTCATGCGAGCATTTTAAGACTTTATATAGACCACCTCGATTTAATTTTGATGAATTTAAGTGACCTTTTCCATATATATTAATATTCAAGATTTTAACGATTGTTCTTATTGCGACATATATTGAAAATTTAGTTGTATTTTATTGTTTATTAACATTTAAGATGATCTAGTGGTAGATTGAAACGTTTGTTCTGTATTTGAATTAGATGATTTATTAAATATTAGCAGTTAACATCTAACTTTACCTCATAGCCCTTTATTTTTTAAATATTTATCAATAATTTATCAATAAAGTATTAAAAATTTGAAAAAGCTCAAATTCTCTTCGCTACTATTAAATAAATGAAAAAAAATAAATGATTTAAGAATTAAACTTACTAAAGTTACAATAGCAGAAATCTATAATTAAGTAATCTATTTCGAGAATTTAGATCAAGCTTACCTCAGTCGCGAGACTTTGATTCGCTCCATTGCCGAGCAAGAGCTTGACGACCTGATCGTGATTCTCCTGCGCAGCCATGTATAAAGGAGTGAATCCATTTTGCGACTGGATATTAACCGCGGCACCATATTGAATAAGTATATTGACTATTTCAGATTGGCCAGCTGGAAATCGAAAGAGCAAAATTATGTATAAAATTTACAATTATGATAATATATGTGTTCATGTAATGGGAATTATTGTATTTCACCTAACGAAGCTATGTGTAACGCGGTATTTCCTTTCTTTGTTGCCGCATCAACTTTTGCGCCCCTTTTTAATAATTCGGTAACTATTTCGACGTGGCCATCCTTCGAAGCTAAATGCAAGGCATTTAAACCGTTCTGTAATAAAACACAAATTAATTTACCATTATTGTAATAATTTGATCAAATATTTTGATCAAATTTAATTATTTTATTTAATTAAAAGTTAAATATATAATAAAAATAAAATAAGTATAAATTTAAATTAAATAATAAACTTTTATTTTACAATTACGGGTTTTTCTTTAAATTTTTTTGTACGTTTATATTCTTTAAATGTAAGTCTTGAAAAGTTTTAAAGTTTATAAAAATTAATAATCATTGTTAAATTTAATTGTTTGAAATAATATTGAAATTAAATTACACAAAATTGACAAAGTTTAATAAATAATTTGACATTTTAAATTTAACACTTACCAAGTTGGCTGTATTAATATCTAAATCGGTGTCGAGAAATTCGACCACTTTCTCGAGGTTGCCGGATCGAGCAGCGCGAAGAAATGCTGTCGTGTCATCAGCCTAGATACAAATATTTTATTCTGTAAACGACTGTAAAAGCGAAACATTTAGAAGTATATGTAGAAAAAATGACATGAAAGATGGAGGGTCAGCGATAAAGTATAATAAAAGATAAAGATGCGTAATATGGTTATTTATATAGATATGTACACAAGTAACCCAGTTTGTAACGGTGATGTAACCCTGTCCTTTTTCTTTTACCCTCACATGTTTAACACTTCGTGCACATCGTTATTGTCCTTTTTATTAATCAACGTTATAGCATATTTGTTGGTACACTCCAAATAAGCAATGCACAGAACTACAAGTATGTCACATATATTTACAAAAACTCATTCTTTCCTTGTAAATAGCTTTAAAACTTTTCAAGACTTACATTTAAAGAATATAAACGTACAAAAAAATTTAAAGAAAAACCCGTAATTGTAAGATTAATCAAAAATCAATCTATAGAATGTAGAAAATAAAAGCAAATTTAATTCAAGATAATTAACTTACAGAAAATTGGAAAATCAATAATATAAAGCGTCATTTACAGTTTAAAGTTAATTAATTCGTGATTTTCTTGTTTCCAGGAACAAGAATTTTATGTATATATATTCCGCCCCTCTGTCTGCATTTCCCGCTGTGAATCATCGCGATAAGGAACCATGTCGGCCAGGTGGTCTGCACCGCGTCAACGTATTCGTGCGTGCGCGTGTGCTATACTCCGTCACCCTGACCTTTGACTGGTAATTCTTACCGGCTTCTACACCACGTCTAGGTATAATACAAATCGCGCGTTTTTGCAGCTTTTTGATCACGATCGCTACGGCTGCAAACCTCTTTGATATCGATACGCTGTTATATTTGCCGGCTATCGCGCCTGAACGCCTCTCATCCGGTTTATTTCGCGTATCGCCCATCCTTCTTTTATATTCTTTCTATTAGCTCTCGGGAAAATTTTATTGTCCACGTGATATTCTATTACTATAATAAAATTATAATTGAAAATTGGTATAATTTTTTATATAATTTAACGAGTTCAGTTCTTATATGGCTATTCTTTCTATGGCTTTCTTGTATGAGAGAATAATTTTTCTGATAATAAAAACGTAATACAGCTATTATAAGACATATTTCTTCTCTTTTAAACACGACCAGGAATAATAATTTTAGATCTCTGTCCAAAATATTAAACGCATTAACAATCTCCGACCGGCTATTGCATTTCTGATGTAACTACAGAGATAGAAATATAGATATTATTTTCTGATGCTTGTGAATCATGGTATCGCGAATGCCTCGAAGAACGGTGGATCTTGCGCCTAATTTTAGAGCTGAGAATTAGAAGGGTGCTCGAAAATTCCACCGCTCATCGTCTCCTTCGATCGGTCAATTCGGAGTGGACGAGAAAGAGGGTGCATGCACGAAAGAGAAGGAGAAAGAGAGAAAGAGAGAATGCGAGTGCCGGCTCCGAACCGCTATACCGCTTCTGTTGGACACCGTACCTGACTGGTATTGTCGGTGACCATTGCGACTAATGGCTGGGTGCTTCTCGACTGTTCGGAGCCCGACGTCGACCGTACGCACGCACGCAAGAGACGCTTGTCTCTCCTTTTACACCGACCGCGCACGTTACACCACCATTTGTGCACACATCCCTCGGGGGTGCGCACGATAACGCCAGGAAGAAAGCGTCAGGCGGTAGGAGCCGCCCTGCGCGAAACACACTACGGCGCAGAATCGAGCGACAACGATCTCGCATATAGAGGGAACACCACGGGGGTGGATTGCACCGGGGGGTGGTTGCCGGTTCACTCGCACCCTCCATGAGAGGCACATGCGTCGTCCGTCTTCCCGTCACCGATCCCTCTTGCGCCCTTCTATGACTCTCGCGTTGTTCCCGCTTTCTCTCTTACTCCGCCACACTGCATTGTACCGCTGTTTTAACAGCAAAAATCTATTTTACTTTTTATCTTCCCCTACCTTTCCTTTTGTTCCTTTTGTTACTACTTTTGGAACCTTGACAAATCAGCACTTTGAATTGCTTAACTATAATAACGTGTACATGATACTTTATACGAATATTTTAAAAGATAGTATCTTTCAGTTCCTATATTTTTAAAATATATATTTTTTTCAGTACGTTAACATCTTTTTAATAGGATGCCTGATTGAGCATCAAATTATTAAATTATTTGTCAATTTAATTTATGATATTACTATAGTAGTTTAATTGCGTTTATAAATCCGAAAAATTAATTCGACGCGCAGTTTAAATGATTACATATTTAGTATATAAATTCACATAGAAATTATTTAAAGCATTTAAGATCCATTTTCGATCGTTATAGGCATTAAACTCTCACTTGTGTATTCACATATACGGTCTTAATAAATCATTTATTATATTGTATATACTTTTGATAACTATATATATTTCTTAAATTTTATAAAATTTTATAAAATATATTAAATAAGATTTGTAAAAAAATTAAAAATTTATTTAAGTTATTGGACTGATAGAAAAATATTCATGGAGTGGAGGAGCACAAAAAAAACTCGTTCAATTTGTCTGCTTTTTGTAAAATAAATTGTCCAATCTTCCTTCGATAGAAATCGGAATAATAGAATTTATCAATGTATTTCACTTTTTGTTCTTTAATCATTTTACTTTGAAACACAATAAGCCTCCTCTCATCCCTTTTCATATTTCTCATTTTATCCTGTCGCTGCACCCGACCTTTTCCCCCGATTTGATGTATTCGTGTGTGATAGAGGCGTATAAGGGTGCAATATGTGTCCGTTGTAGAATCACCATCGAATTTGGATTACCGACGGGGAAGATGGAAAACAGTTTTTACAGGAAAGAAACCATACCGGCAATGATAGCGCGCACCCTCGCATGCGCAAGATATAAGGGGTTGTCGAGATTGCAAGTGATGCATTTCGTATTCGAGCCGCCACGTGGAAACATTATATCCATGCTCGGAGCTATTCTACTTTCAGAGTTGGCGAATATAAAAACATCTAGCTGAATGTGTTTAAGATTGAACCGAGAATGAATTGCTACTCAATGCGAAATATCTTCTTAAGGGGAAATTTTAAATTCGTCCTACCAATTATTTTTTAAATAAGTATTTTTTTAACTGCCCTTTTATATATATATATATATATATTTCAAAATCCTTTTCCATAATTAAAGTATAAACGATATAGTACAAACCGATCGACTTTATAGGATGGACTTTGTCAAAAACAAAAACAAGGTTGGAAAAGTTTTGTTACCGACTTCCGATGTCGACTCATAATAATATTTACTTTATATACAAGTTTTATACTTCATACTTGTAAAATCATGATTTGGACTAGAGATTACATGAACAAGCAATAATGTTGAATTCTTAGAATTAAGTTTAGATACTTAATATGAAAAACAAGTTAGTTAGAAAATTGGTACGTATGTATGCATACGATATTGATGTAAGTAGTGTGCAACGATGTGTCAATGACACGTAAATCGTATGTGTGTAAGTCCTATTAAATCGGTAAAACAAACGACTTTAGGATTCCTTTAAACTCTTGTGTTTTGTAATTTTTTCTTTAAAAATTTTATCTTCTTTTTGCACGATATGTGCAACAGGATTAGTAAAAATTATGTTTTGAACTGTTTAAAACATGCTTAATCAATGTTTTTAGCATGTTTTATGCATGTTTTTTATAATACTACTATTTAAGTCTATTCTACAATGTGTTTTTTGTTTTCTGTTTCTTGTTTTTTTGCTATTTTTTACATTTTGTCTTTTTGCTTCTTATCTGATTTTTTATTTTCTGTCGAGATAAAAGTTAACGAATTTCGGAAAAAAAAAACAAGAAACATTAGCAAGAAATACAATTGTCGTTAAAACGGTATCTCAAAGGGGGAAAAAGACAAGAGATAAAAAGCAAGAAATAAGAAACAAAAAGCACATTGTAGAATAAACTTAGAGCATGTATGAAGCATTAAAAACATGTTTTGAATAAACACAATGTTTTGTCCTTTTAAAAAAACATTATCTTTTCTCAACCCCGATGTGTGATAATATTTGGAACTGCAAAAACAGAAAACAAGAGTTTAATGCATAAAAAATGGAACCAAACGTTATAACAATAATTTTAAATATACAGTCAAATGAGAACCGCGCTTTTTTCCTAGTCTTTGCCATTACGCCTGTTCTTTTTAACTGAACTTCTTGCACGGTTCATCTTTTCTCTTTTTCTCTTCCAACGTGGAGAGAAAAGGAAGAAAGATAAATAATGTTATACTAAAAAGTTTCTTTATTTATTAAATTAAAATGTATTTGTAATTCACTATCTTGTTATTAATATTTCAAAAATAGCGATTCTATATAGTGTAATATAAATTTAAATAATAAATTAAGGAACAATATTCCATTAACTTTATATTGTGATTATAAAAATTAATAAATTTTTAAATTACTTTCTCTTTATTTTCTTTTCTCTTCAACGTTTGCAAAAAAGAATAAAAGTATAATTAATATATATACATATATTATTGATTTTAATAATATAGATATAGCCAATTAATATTAATTAATGCCAAATAATTATCTAAAATAATAATTATATATCTCGCAATTATGTCAACGCAAAATTATAATAACTTTTCGTTGTGTACTTGCAAAAACACGTTAATATTTTAAAAAACAATTTTAGCGTCATTTCGGTAAATTGTAACGTCAACGTCCTAAATCTCAAGAAAAATAAGCAGCATGTCGTTGTACATTGCGATCAATAAAATCTTTACAGCCGAGTTTGTGTGGCCGCAAGTAGAAAGAACAACTTATGTAGGTATGCACGTCACCCCGTCACATAGTACATCTCTCGATACAACCTTGCACTCGCGTGACTTCATCCAAGGCCGCGACCCCCCGACTCCAGGCGCATGCTGCTACACTTCTCGTACCCTTAATTCTCTTGCACACCAATCGGCTGTGAGATTTCAAGGATACATATAGAGGTTCAGCTCATTATTATCGCGTCCAGAAATTTATTTTCTATACATATATATATATATTGTTAACAATAATTCTAGAATTGCTGTCAATTATAAGATTTAAATTATATTCGTCATGTGCTATTTATTGCGGGTATATATGAGAATATAGGTATTATAAATTTTATTAACATATATAATACATATAAATATTATTATTTTATATATATAATAACAAATTTATTATGCAGCATAATTTAGCTGAGTTGGCAGTTAATTAACTGAACATTATTATTTATAACTTTAAAAATTAGAATTATTATTACTTACAAAAAAAATGAAAACGCGAAACTACAATAAAACATACTTGTACGTACGTATAGCCCTTATTTTGAAAACTGCCTTGTTATATTTGACTTGCGTGAAACGCGTGGAACACAAACAACTTTTAATTCTCTCGAAAAACAGCAAGCATTGAAAAGAACAATAAATAATGATTTTATTAAATTAAGTGAAGTTATAGTTGCAAAAATGTTGACATAGAATAGACAATTACTTTTTCAAGCACACATAAATAACGTTTCGGAATACTATGACAAATTATTTCTAAAAATAGTGTCGAGCTATCGCTTTCTGGGCAGTATCCAATAATCGCCACGAGTGAAGCTCGATAGCGAAATGTCAGCTGATTCGATCATATGATATTTATTTATTTATTTTACGCTGTTGATCCACGTATTTTTTATAAAAATGAAAGTTAATCTTACCTGTTATCAATGTAGTTATTGTACAATATATGGACATACTTGAAAAAAATCATTAAAAAAATAATCATTAATAATTATTACCAAACATATATGTTTATTAATGTCAGCAACATATGTTTAGAGATCTTAAAAGTATAAGGAATTGTTATATAAAATGCTTGATTTAAAAATTTTTCATATACACAACAGGGATTTTGAAAAAAAATGGAAGATATTACAAGAACAACAAATATTAATTAATACACGTCTTTACCTGGAGCTTAATAATCGGTGGGAATGCGTCTTCTCTCGTCATTACTAAATAATAAACTGTATATTCTCTTTGACAAACTCTACGTATATGCACGCTGTGTAAGCACCATGCTAAAGACGTAGACTGCCGGATATTAATAGAGTTCTATATGTTATTTTTGTTAAACTCCTATATGTCGTGCCTTTGTTAAGTAATCGCATTTTATGTTAATATCCAAAGCTAACAAATTAACAATCACGCAAATTTACGAATATAATGTTTGATTTTAGCATATTGAAAGCCACATATAGATATATTTTTTTACTGCGTGCATGTGTGTGTGTGTGCATTATGTATACAGGGTAAGTTTATCAGACGTTCACCAGATAGTTCACATTTTTTTCGAAACGGTAGAAATAGGGGACACCTATTATCAAAATTGTAGGATAAGTAGGAAGACATACTTTGATAACCTTGTAACCTTAAATGTTCTTTGTTTTTTTACTATCAATAAAAGTTTTTTTAATCGAAAGAGATTTGTAATCATTTTATCGATCGTACTCAGCTGAATATTTTTGTACTAAAGTATTTCTTCGAAAATTCAACTGTCGGGATTAAAAGAAGTTAAATTATAAGTTTGAAACAAATTTTTTTGATTATTGCAAAAAATGTTCAAAATGTTATGTTCATTTAAACGTGCCAATAGTTTTCGTTAGGAGAAAGCTTGCTTAGGTTTTTGTTAATTTTTGAATCGTTATTTTGCGATAAATATTTCACTGACGGTTAAAACCTTTTTAATATTGTTTACAATCATGACGTTAACAATCCAGTAAATAAGAATAGAGTGAAATGAATTCAGATTTTTAGAAGTACGCATTCGCGAATGTTGAAATGAATTTCCTTTTCAATCCCAATGCATTTTTATTCACATAGGAATTGAACATTTCTATGCCTTTCAATCTAAAAAAAATATCAATTCTTTAAGTGAATACTGCTTAATTTAAAATTTTATGAATAGGAGTTTTTAATCCAATTGAATCTAAAAAAAGTTTTCCATCTAATTGAATCTAAGTGAAAATGAGCCATGAATGCTACTAAAATACGTATGTGGATAGATTCAAATAGATTAAAATTCCATTTCATTTATCTAGTCTCGTTTACTAGAAATGTACAGGTCAATTTATCCAGTCGATATATTTATATGACCCAACATGACCTTAAAAAAATATTTTCGAGAATTAATTTCACTAATATTTGTATCCCATTAGACCGTAAAACTTTTAAAACTGAAACATTTTCCGTATCTTTCATATTTTCTGAGATATTCCGCCCATTACGTTTGAAATGGGTCACCCTATATATCTTTGTTACTTTAAGTATTTTAGTCCGTATTCAGAACGCGCTTTTATCGATAAAAACGCGCTTTTATCTCCGAATTTCTATAATATGTGTAACGTAAAGTATAGCATGTTAGCACGCTAACATCGTTGTAAGCGCGTTCTGAATACGGGTCTTTATATACATTAAAGCATATATATCCTCAAAATTTATTAAAATAGCACAATACACACAATCAGCAATTTTCTAGACTATTCAAGAATATAAAGAAATAATTTATAAAAGGTATATTGAGTCGATTACATAATCCGTGTTATTGAAATAAAAATTGAATAATTTTAATAACGAAAAGTTTAATTTAATCCATTTGTAAATTATTACTTCACAAAATAATATTATACGAAATAAACATTAATTCCACCAGAAACTGATCGAAAAACTTGGAGTAAGGGCAGCTACGTGATGCCACCATTTTGGTGGGATATACAACATTTCTCCGGGTTTTAAATAAAACGTCATGCCGCTAGCTTTACGAAAATTTGGCCATTTGTCATAATCTGGCCTCACAGGATCTACTTGTGCAGTATTGTTAAGTAATCTAGTATCATAAGGATACAAATTATCTGTCTCAGTTGGAGAATATAAAATAACTCTTTTGTAGCCGAATACCTAAAAAATAAAAACAATGACACACTAAGTACAATATCCAAAATATAGTATACAGTTAATTTAACAAATTTTTAATATTTTATTTTAATATTTAAAATAATTTCATTGTAAATCTCTTTCTATATACTTGAGAAAGTAAATTATTTTTCGGATCAAAGTGCAAAGGCGACACTGTATTAGCAGGTCCAAACCAGGCATTAATATCAACTTCTGATGATTCTGCATCATTTTTCTCATTATCCGAAAAACAACAATATTCTGGCACTTCGAAATCCTCTTTCAACTCTGGTATCTAATTGAGATTGATTTAAAATCATGTTTTTATATCATTAAATATAAGATTTTGTCGCATGCAGCGAATTAATACCTGTTCAAACAATTGATGTTGTGCTAAATAACCAACTTCGCTATTAGTTGTAATAATATGTTTTTGTAAAAATTCAGAAAAATTGACAAGATGCTGTGTCCAATCTTCTTCAGTATAACGAGATCCAACTTCAATCGGTACTGTCCGAGATCCCGCGATCTTATTCAAATAATTAGGATTTTTCCATAACGTTAGTGCTTTCCAGTGATTCATACAATCTAGTGAAATGCATAAAATATTTTATTTTTCTCTATAATGTTTAAAACATAGTCCGACTGCTAAATATTTATTATTCAGGGTAAATAAAATTCAGAATTTTGTGATACAGAGAGATCACATTAATATAAAACCAAGTATTTTGTTAATATATGACTTACAATTAGAGACATATTTGCTTCATATGTACCTGTTAATACAGCCGGTAACTTTGGCATAAAAATTTTATTGTAAAATGTTTGCATCGAAGGCTGTTCAAAATATCTATCCGGATAGTTAGAGATTAAATAGTTAGTCCCTTTATGATCAATTGAAATATCTTCCATATTTATAATATCAGATCCTTCTAATAAAATTTGAAAAATAAAAATCGATTTTAATATAATTCTTAAATAATTTAAAACTATAAATTATATTTAATATAAAATTTAATATAATAAAAAAAATATATTCAATATAATACTACAAATTTATTATTATAATAATTTATTATTATGTGAGTTAATAATTAAAATACTTTTATAAATATATTCTTACCAGCACAATAATTGTTTAGCTTCGTAGCAATAGTTGTCAATAAATTTGGTATACTGAGAAGAGGTGCGCCTAATAGAATGCCTCTATCAATTTGATTAATAATATTTTTTAATACAATCTTTTTCTTCTCTTCATCAGCATAACTTTTAGCATTTACTTGCCACTGAAGTTCTAATAATACAGCCTACAGATGTATCAAAGGCAATTTTAAATAAAATTTATGTCAGTAAAAGTTTGTGAAAAGCAGTATAAATGTTGAATTATATATTATGCAATATTTTATACCTTTACAATAACACATAAAGAATAACAATATCTGTATTCTATTGGAACATCTTTCCAGTAGCCTGAATTCAATACCTCCCATGTACGGTCTAAACAAGCTTCCAATCTTGTTATTGACGTGTTCATCCATTTTTCTGAAGTTCTTATAAGGAAAACAACTTAAATTAATTATATGTTGAATATTTATATTATGAATATCATGTTGTTTGGAATGATAAGTCTATCATAAATAGATAAACAATCTATGACATTTAGAGCTATGACATTTTTACTTTAATAGTAGTATTACTATTGTACATTGTAAATTTTTAAATGCACTTTTGTGTATTGTCTATTAAATTGATTGTAAACAATGTAAGATTACATTAATACCTCAAACTAATTAATTTGACAAAATATATGCATAAAGCTTTTATAGTAAATATATAACAATTTAAAAAATATATATAAAATAATATTGCTTATAAGTTTTCAATATTTACAATTGTTTGTCAGATGTCCATAGCACATTAATTACAGGTGTCAAGTGCAATTTTATTTCAATAGGTATATTTTCCAATTCTTTTGTTAATAATGTCCAAGGAACTGTTATCATAGAATCACTGTGAGTCATTCTGTAAATTATATATATATATATAATTATTATTTTATACATATAATCATTATTATAAGATATAATCAAAAGTCTTTACTTATAAAAAAACACTTCTGCTATACACAGGTTTACTTAAGTATGCCCATCGCACGATAACATGATCAGCTAAATAATACAAAATCTTTCCTGTTAATGAGAAAGTTTTAACTCTACAAAAACTCTCTATGAATATAATAACGTTTTCTGTAATAAACAAAATCCTAAACAAAAATGCTATGACACATAAAGGTACACAGGTGCCAGGGCCATTGCATAAAATAAGCTCTGGATTTTCTCTCCATAAAATTGGAAGACAGTTTAGTGTGGCAAATATAGTGGTCCAAATTGATGTGAAGTATGACTGCCGAACTTCACGACTTCTATAAATTTCCATAATTTTGTAATCTTTATTGCCATTCTCAAGATCTCTAACTTTTTCTGCACTAAGTTTATCTGTCTGAGCATGAATATACACTCTAGGGGAATAATTCTTAATGTTTAAGTATTTGACAATTCGCAACATTTCAGCTGTATGTCCACCAGATCCTAATATTATCATTGTTTTAATTGAACAAGACTTTTCTTTAGATTTAGTGCTTTTCATAAATATCAAATAACAAGCTCTGGCAAGTATCAATATACAGGCAAACACAGCAAAGATAAAGTATTTCACGTACATCTTCTTGTTTTGTTAGCTGAAAAGAGTATTATGAAATACTTAATATATGTACAGTAAATTTACAAAGGATTAAATTATGTTAATAATAATTCTTACTAACCTCACTATAAATTATATGTCAGTTCATCAACTAGAAAAAGAAAAAAAATAAATTGTAGACTAAATAAGTTAAATTATAGATTTATATAGAGATTTGTTTTTGTAAATGAGTTTTTTACTTTTTATGCTTTTAGTACTTTTTTGTACGAAAAGTCTTATCCTTTTTCTTTGATTTGTGACTTGCACCCATATATGTAATACTCCTATATTGCTAACGCCAATTAAAAACTGGCGAAAACACCACGATGCAGACGAATATCTATTTCTCAGGCGTCGTCTACAATATGCGATGTAAGCTTGGTTTAAGAAGTAAGAGTAAGAAATTGACCAATCACAGTCGATTATTCTTCTCACATTCGACTGTGATTGGTCAATTTCTTAGGGTGAAATTACGGTGCGGAAAAGGACTGCGGAATAGAAAATGCGTCATTGAAGCAACCAATCAGCGCTGATTGAGTGAAAACGCGACGAATGGGTATATTTTTATTAAGATTTTAGGAGGGCAAGCTACTCTACTTTTTAGGAGACACGTATTTAATACACATATTTATGACA